ACATTGGAAATTCAAATACTTAACATCGTATGTTACTAACACATATTAGTTGTTTGTCTTGTAAATTCACATTAATAAAAGTCCAAGAAAACGTACGACAACAATAAAAACTCATTATGCAGATATTAACCATGGGAGCAGACGGCTACAACTTGGTATCAACATTGTTTATGTATTTTGAATTTCCTCAACTTAAAAAAGCAATTTATCAAGACTTTTCCTGGATACTACCTTCAATTAAGGTACATGCGTTATCCAGAACAGAAGAAACAAACGTGTATTTCAACAACTTTAATAATATAATCAACGGTAATAATGCAAATACATTAAGAAAATAAATGTACATTTTTAATTTGGGGTCGATTCCAATAACGAATTAAACTTTAGTGAGTACATACGTTGTCAGGGTTAGGGTCAGGTAGGGTCAAAAAGGTCAGGGTTAGGGTCGGGTAGAGCCAAAAGGGTCCGGGATAGGCCAAAAAGGTCAGCGGTAAGGTCAGGTAGGGCAAAAGAGTCTGGGGTAGTTTCAGGTAGGGCCAAAAGGATCAGAGGTTGGGTCGGGTAGGGCTAGAAAGGTCAGGGGTAGTGTCAGGTAGGGTCAAAAGGGTCAGAGGCAAACTTGGGTCAGGGTACCTAAAATTAGAGTTATAGTGACTTGGCAAATTTTAGACTCCGGCACTTTTCTGACTTCTTATGTGTAGGCGGCATAAGTTGATAGTTGCATTTGTGTGCTGATTGCTACAAAAGCTAGTGTCATCATAGTCTTTAACAGTAGGAAAAATGTTTCATACCAGTCACTTCCAAGAAAGAAGCAATTTGCAACGAGCAACAGCGCAAAAGGTTTTCCAACGGTGACGACGCAGTAGATACAAGCGGCAAGGCGAGACCAGTTTGCAGGTGCAGAAATTCAGGATATTGACTAATGATAATTCGCGATTCATTATATTTTACCGCCGTGAGAGCGGTCCAACTACACACGACACATTAATAAATGAGTATTGAATATTGTTGTCTCACTTTCGCAGTAAAGCCTTTGTTTATTTGTGTAATTAAATAAATAATGGTCAGCTTACAAACGTGTTGCCTTCTAGTTTTGTAGTGTTGACATTACATCGAATCTGCAATTACATATTGCAGTTCCTGTTGTATCAACAAAAGACTGGGTTTATGAGCAAAATTGTTAACCGTCTTTTTTATATTTTATTTACTGCGATATTTATGTTAATTTTATAAATAAAGTTTAGTCATGTTTGTAAATTAAAGTTAAGTAAAAAAACACTTACCTATTGTCACACGGCGCCAAATGACTGAAACGCCAGCACCTTCTTGTCAATTTTTGCCAATCAAGTATTTAACTCAAGAAGATGTACAGACTACATATACGTTTCTAGCCTACATGCAAGTATGTGTAACTATACCAATATTAAGCATCACAATGTATTTTTGCTACAAAATCAATAAAGTTCTATTAACGCTAATTTAAAGCTAATTGTCATTTTAACATTACTAACTTTTACCTCATCTTGTACTATGTGTGCAGTCCTCCTACTAATACCGGAAAATTTTTACAGTATAAAAAATGGACATTATGTTAATGCGTCTCTTTATTATACAATTATGCTAATAGTAAACTATCTCTACTTTATGTTTTGTTTTAAATACACTATGATTGCTATTGAACGTTTAGTAGCATATAAACGAATGAGAACGTATGACGCTGAAGGCAACTGCTTTGGGTGGCGACTATTTTGCTATTTTGTAAGTTCTATTCAGTAGGGCAAGTGTAAAGCAAAAATTCATCAACAGTAAGACAAAGCTAAAACAATGATAGAGTATATATATATTTGTATATTGTTTAAAGATCTTAACATACAATATTGCAGTTGTTAACAGGGCTTGTACTTTTAATAGTCAAGTGTACCTTTATTTGGTGGCTACGACAAAATGATGACATTGACCTAAGATAACAAAAGACGGTTGTAATTGTTCATTTTGTACCTGGATTTTTAATGGACTGTTTTATAGGGTCGTCCGGTTTGTTTCATTCAATCTTTGTATGTTTTTTCGGATACTTTAATAACCGTTTGCAATCTTGCCAAACCTGACTTAAACTATATAAATAACGCTTCAGGTTCTTTATCCTATAATGAAAAATATAAATGTATCGTACAGTCGGTCGTTAACAGAAAGTTATGAAATTCGACAGACTCGATGCACCTTACAATGGGTGAAAAAAATGGTTTACGCATTCTTTGGCTTGTTTGTATTCGTAGTACCGTTTGCTTCAATGATGTTTTATCTATACGTATTTTGTGGGTACGATACTGACAGGCTGGAAATTCAAATACTTCAAATGGTAAGTCTACGAAAGAAAACAACAAAAATATTTTTAATAACAAGTAAGAATTTATCTTTAGATCTTAATAATGGGAACAGAAGGCTACAATTTATTAACAACAGTGTTAATGTATTTTGAATTCCCTCAACTGAAAAAAGCCATTTATCAAGACTTTTCCTGCATACTACCTACAATTAAAATAAATGTGTTATCCAGAACAGTGGAAACCAACATATATTTTGACAACTTTAATAGTTTAATCAATGGCAATAAGGTTAGAATCGTAAAGAAATAAATAAACAGTTTTAACTTGGACTTGATTCTAATAACAAACTAAACGTGAGAGACCTAGTTAAAGGCATATTGCATTGCCAACTTATACATATTAGGCCAAAAATTTCTAGAGCTCCGGTACTTTTCTGACTTCTTCTGTGTAGGCGGCAGAAGTTGATACTTCCGCTTTTGTGCGGATCGCTAAAGTATGATTTGATTCATACAACGGATCAAACTTTAGTTGACACTGATTGTCGCATTGGTAATGACGTCACTGCAAGTTTTCAATGAGTTGGAAAATTCTAGAGCTCCGGTTCTTTATTGACTTCCTCTGTGTAGGCGGTAGAAGTTGATAGTTCCATTTTTGTTCAGACTGCTAGAGCAACTAGTGTCGTTTGATTTAACAAGTGTTGTTCTGTGTCGTGACGAGATCCAAAGGGTTCTGTTAGGTCCAGCTGATTTTCTTTAAGAAGTTATTAAGAAGCAATTTTTAACGTGTGAAACACCGTAAAAGTTTGTCCAAAAGCGTAATTACTTGTGATTTAAACAGCAGACAATACAATAATAAATGGCTATATACTATTGTTGGTTCTTTAAAAGGATCTTTAAAACCAAAATTCTAAGTACGTACTCAATAATTTAATGCGTACTCTTACAAAATTTATATGTACACCTTCAAAGTATACAATTTTAAGAAAGCGCGTAGATAAATATGCAATTTCTGATACCTTCACATTTTCACTATCATTTTAGGTAAACAAAACTGAACATGTTGATTACTAAAGGGCTTGTTTTTATTTTGAATAGTTTTTCTAACTATGGTACTTGATGTGTATCGTCTTATATAAACAAGTAATTCATGTCATTTAGAGTTAAGAACAAGTTTTAACATTGAGTTTTATTTTGCTTTAATGCTTAGTTTTTACAATGTGTACAATGGTACTTCTGTATAGTTGAACCACACTTACGGCCGACCTTTATTGACAATCAAGCAACGAATTATAAGCAGGCTTGGGGATCTGACACCTGACGAATGGTCGGTCGTCTTTAGATTGTATACTCTTTGCGCTCTCTGGTCTATATATATTGCGGCTTATCCATAAACCTTCATGTCATATACCAAATAGGCATTCTTATTGTTCGTACTGTATAAAGAAACGCTCCTATAACGAGTAATATTAAAATCCCCGAACGATTCATTGTACTAAAGTTCAGCTGTATAATAAATAATGAACGTCAAGGTGACAATAAGATTAAGGTACATCATGACATTTTCATGTATTAACACCTTCTGTAGAAGTAGAACAGCGCTTGTTCCTTTTATCATTAACCCATATAATTGGTTGTCTATACGTGTAATTAAGTTTACTAACATACTTATGTACTTGTTTTTTATCTTGTGCTTGTATCGGTTAATTGGCATTATTGTATAGTTTTTCCTTGTTTGCAATCCAAAATATTTTTTTATTTTACCGCAAAACACCTTGTGCTTACGTATACAGTGGAACTCCTGTATAACGAATCGCTCAGGGATTGGAAATTCGTTCGTTATGAAGGAGTTTTGTTATACAGGCGTTTTAAATTTACTGTGCAGTGATAGACGGGTATTCATAAGTTGTTCGTTATACAGGAGTTCCACTGTACATTTTTGTTAGTTGTAGACATTTACTAAATAGGTTAAATAACTTTTGATTGTTTAAAAGGGTTAAGGTTAATTATTGTTTCCTTGTGGAGTGTACCTTAATACAGTAAAGTTAAGTATACGTGGCTACTTCCTACATTTGTAAAAACTATAATTTTCTACTTAAGACCAATAAATTTTTGTTTTAGACTTTTGATATCAACCTCCAAATCAAGTAAATCAAAATTATTTGTCTCCTACATGAAGTAAAAAGTTTTTATTTTCTACATGCAGTAACTCTATTTACACATATACCTTCCCACATATTTTTTCTACAAAGACAACATAATTAGCTTATTTAATTATATGAAAGACTTTCACCTATGTTATTGCCAACTTTTGCCTAACATGAACCTAACTCAAGAAGACTTGAAAGCCATTCATGGCTTTTTATCCTACATGCAAGTGTTTGTGTCCTACCCTATATTACTCATAACCATGTATTTTTGCTACAAAATCAGCAAAGTTGCTACAATCAACGCCAATTTAAAGTTAATAGTTACTGTTACGTTGTTATCGTTTACGGTATGTACATCTATCCATGTTGTTATGATCTTAATACCTCAAGATTCGTACAGTATTAAGCAAAGACATTTTTATAAAGCAGCTGCTTATTATACTGTCATGTTGGTTACGAACTATTTTTTCTTTATGTTTTGTTTTAAATACACTATGATAGCTTTTGAACGAACGGTCGCATTTAAAAGAATGAGGACGTATGATGGTGAAGGCTACAGGTTTGGAATACGACTGGTTTGCTACTTTGTAAGTTGAGAAACATTTGTAGGGTAAGAGTAAACCTTTAATCAATGAATAGGTGGGGGGGGGGTTGAAATTAATAACCGTTCTTTACAGTTATTAGTATCGTTTGTATTCCTATTAGCCAAATGCACTTTTATTTGGCGGTCCAGACGGCATGATGATATTGACCAAAGACTACAAAAGACAATCGTTATAGTGAATTATGTACCCGGATTTCTACTGGATATAGCTATAGGAACTGCTGGCATGCTTCACTCCATTTATGTAAGTTTTTTCTTTATGTAAGTGTTTGGCACTTTACTTATTGAAGAATGCTTCGTTTTGGGCTATCATCTACTAAAAGTTGTTTTTGTAGAAAGTACATTCCTTTTGTTAGTAAAGTTTTAACTTTAGGTTTTACGGTCAATAATGAATAAAGTACGGACGTCCGATTCGCGATCGCTAAGTGAATGTTATGAAATTCGGCAGACTAAATGTACATTACAATGGGTGAAAAAGATGCTTTTTGCTTATCTGGGACTGTTTATATGTGTTCTGCCATTTGCTTCGACTTTGTTTTATTTATACGTGTTTTGTGGACTTGATACAGATACCTTGGAAATTCAAATTCTTAACACGGTAAGTTAATAACATTTCACTAATAGTATAATAAACACAAAAATGGAACTATCAACTTCTGCCGCCTACACAGAAAAAGTCAAAAAAAAGTATATCGGAGCTATAGAACTTCAGTATCGCTACGTACAGAAGAACTTCTGTATAATGTATTGCTCGAGAATTTAAAAGTTGTTTGTTATACGTACATTTTTTTATAGATAAGTTCGTTACACATGACTTCTGATGTGCTTTACGAATAGTTAGGAACAAAGATATAACAATAATTATATTATATCCAACCTCTACGTTTAGATCCTAACAATGCTAGCAGATGGCTACAACTTGGTATCGACCTTGTTTATGTATTTTGAGTTTCCTCAACTAAAGAAAGCAATCTATCAGGACTTTTCCTGGATACTACCTTCTATTACAAAAAGTGCATTATCCAGAAAGGAAGAAACAAACGTGTATTTTATCAACTTCAATAAGCTAATTAACGGTAATTCTGTAAAAAAATTTTGAAAATAAACAAATTTGGTATTCCAATAACATTTTTTTTGTAAATATTGCGGTATAGTAGAAACAAACTTTGCAAATGCAACGCGATTGTTCATGAAAATTCCAAAAATCAAAGCAAATAAATATATTAAATGCACTTTACCTATAAACCAAAAACTGTTGTGAAAATACGTTTAACTCAATTTAAAATGCAATTAAATTACAATTAGTGTTTACCTTTTCATGGACTAGTCAGTGTGTGTTTTTGCTGTTAAAAATTCTGGCATTTGTTAAACTTAAAGCTACAGTCTCGACACGGATTGACAAAATTACATTTACTTTATTCATTGTGATTTGGGAGACTTAGTCGGATCATTTGCAGCGCTTCGTTACTTGCTGCGAGGGTCAGGTTATACTCAAAAGGATTTTTCTTTCCTTATATAACGCAGATTTCAAAGAAACCACTTGGACTGGCTACTATTATTATATTGTGATTGCTATATTTCTGCTCGTTATATTGCCTTTATTCCAAGATAAACTTTACTATTTCTTTTGGATACTGCTTGAGTCTAGAAACTGTATTAACAGTTAAACGACTTGGGACATTCGAAAAAACCGTTTGCTGATATTGTGGTTCGAAACTAGGACATCTAGGAGACGACCTTACCAACAACCTTATCTACAAAACAACCGCAGCAAATTCTTGTCATCAAAACTTCTGTTCACTTTTTTTTATTCGTCCTATCACGCTCAGCACTTAGCTACCGCTACTTCCGTTACTGTTCTGTTTGACAATATATGAAAACACTACGTCAACGAACATCTTTAACGTAGGTTAGTATAGCCAACACGATGTCAAGTGTTCTGATGTATTTACATAGCAATTAGCCTAATTACGATTTGTTTTGTACTTTTTGTATTAAATAGTTGTTTATTGTACTATTTGTTACCTAAACATTAAAAAACGATTGGCTATTGTATTGTCTTTGTTTCTTTAATAGTCTATGTAGTTTTAACACTTTTTCTTCTTTTTAGCACTCTCTCTTGCTTTGTTTCATTCTTTAGTTCTTTTTACTGTATTATATTTCCTCTTTCCTTTAGCTCTCTGTTTGCTTTAGGCTTCACTTCTTTCTAACGCTTTTTTCTCTTTCTCTCTCTCTCTCTCTGCATCCACTCTTGTTCCCCTACTTCTATCTCCTCCCCAAACACCTATATAAACATTACGAATGCCGGAAGTGACATTACATTCGAATGGTTTGTGTGTTTTTGACCGAAGAAAATCTACAATACTTGTCGAAGCTACTCATTATTACCCAAGTTATCGTATCTATACCCATATTATTCGTATGTTTCTACTTCTCCTACAAGCTATGTAAAGTAGCTACGATCAATTCGAATCTAAAACTCATAGTTATCATAACAACATTATCTTTTACTATATCAGCTACCATTCATCCACTTATGACTCTAATACCTGAAGAGTTGTATAGTGTACGGGATGAAAAGTACTATGGTGCTGCCTTGTATCATGGAATGATGATTTTTATCAACTTTATGTGTTTTGTCTTCAGCTTTAAGTATACGTTGGTGGCTATAGAAAGGGCTGTAGCTTATAAGAGAGTGAAGACTTATGATAGTGAAGGCTGCAAATTTGGATTTACTTTGACTGTTTATTTGGTACGTTTTGATAAAATTTTAGGTCTGGCCCTGAAACCTGGCTTATGTTTACGTTTGGGCTTAGAAGTGGACTTGGGCTGGGGCTTAAGCTTAGGCTTAAGTTTAGGCTTAGGCTTAGGCTTAGACTTAAGCTTAAGCTTAGGCTTAGGCTTAGGCTTAGGCTTAGGCTTAAGTTTAGGCTTAGGCTTAGGCTTAGACTTAAGCTTAGGCTTAGGCTTAGGCTTAGGCTTAGGCTTAGGCTTAGGCTTAAGCTTAGGCTCAAGCTCGGGCTTAAGTTCAAAGCCAGGGTCACTTCAAGATTTGGCATAGACTCAGGCACAGGCTCAATGCTCAGGTTCAGGTTTTGGCTCAGGTTCAAGTTACACCTAAGCCTAAGATAGAGTATGATTTTTTATTTTTAGTCAATACTATCTATAATACTTCTGATAATAAAGATGATTATAATATGGAAGACCTCCGTCGACCAAAATATCGACGAGCGTTTACAGAGAGTAACAAATTATTGCCATAGCGTGCCTGGCTTTCTGTTTGACATCTTTATAGCTACTATTGGAATGTTTCATAGCGTTTTTGTAAGTCCTCTGTTGCTTTTGAAGTCTTAGGTAGTCCAGTAGTTTCACCTCTGCTTTAGCTGTAGTACTAGCTCTAGCATTAACTTTTGCTTTTTTTAGGCTTAGCCTTAGAACCTACAGTAAAGTTAAGTAAATTTTCTGTAAACTTTGCTATACTTAAGGTAACCTTGTTGTACTTTGTGTTTTACAGTAGTGTAAAAGATCGAATTTTAGGTTCTAAAATCATTGATGAAAAAAATTGAAAACAACGAAAATCGTTCCCTAACTGAATCATATGAGCTGCGACAAACCGTATACACCTTGAAATGGGTAAAGAAAATGTTGTCGGCTTTTATGGTTTTAATGGTTTGTGTAACACCATTTGTCTCTATTCTATTCTATTTATATTTCTTCTGTGGATACAACACTAATAACGTAGAGGTTAGGATTATGATTACTGTAAGTTGCATGTTATCCCAAAAATTGAATTTTAGCAAGTACGGTATAGAGAGTTGGGTAGGGTAGGGCAGGGTAGGGTAGGGTAGGGTAGGGTAGGGTAGGGTAAGGTAGGGTAAGGTAGGGTAGGGTAGGGTAGGGTAGGGTAGGGTAGGGTAGGGTAGGGTAGGGTAGGGTAGGGTAGGGTAGGGTAGGGTAGGGTAAGGTAAGGTAAGGTAAGGTAGGGTAGGGTACGGTAGGGTAGGGTAGGGTAGGGTAGGGTAAGGTAAGGTAGGGTAAGGTAGGGTAGGGTAGGGTAGGGTAGGGTAGGGTAGGGTAGGGTAGGGGTAGGGTAGGGTAGGGTAGGGTAGGGTAGGGTAGGGTAAGGTAGGGTAGAGTACGGTAGGGTAGGGTAGGGTAGGGTAGGGTAAGGTAGGGTAGGGTAGGGTAGGGTAGGGTAGGGTAGGGTAGGGTAGGGTAGGGTAGGGTAGGGTAGGGTAGGGTAGGGTAGGGTAGGGTAGGGTAGGGTAGGGTAAAATGGAACAAGGTAGTGTAAGGTATGTCATACTGTAACTTTAACACTAAAAATAATTTTTTAGATACCAAGCATAATGGCGGACTTGTACAGTTTTGTATCAACCTTGTTTATGTATTCCGAGTTTCCACGGCTGCGTCGCGCTATAATTGAAGATTTCTCTTGCTTAATGACAAGCAAAATTACCACTACAACAATATCAAGAGAAGCTGAAACTGAAGCGTACTTCAATCAGTTCAATCAAGTTTTAAATAACGGGTTTGAGGCTCGTGGGGCTAAATAAAGTAAATTTACATTTTCTTTATAACATTTTGGAAATTTGATGCTAGGGCTCTGGGCTAGGGCTCTGGGCTAGGGCTCTGGGCTAGGGCTCTGGGCTAGGGCTCTGGGCTAGGGCTCTGGGCTAGGGCTCTGGGCTAGGGCTCTGGGCTAGGGCTCTGGGCTGGGGCTCTGGGCTAGGGCTATGCGCTAGGACTAAGGCGCTTGGCTAGGGATCTGGGCTAAGGCTAGGGCTTTCAATGTAAGCTAATGACAATGTTTAGAACTTTACGTAATATTGTTGTAGGCTATAAAGGGCACTTTCTGTAAAAATAAAGAAAAATGGTAATAAAAAACAGTAATGACTCAAAATGAAAAAAAAATTACTACAACATATACATATTTGAATAATTTGATAGTACATGCACTAACTGATAGAAAGCAAGTAAACAAATACCGTACTTTACAAATTTAATAATTAGTACGTTGTTCCAAGTAAAAAACATCTTATAAATCTTTAGACTTTTTGTTTACAGTGTAAAGTAAGTACCTTTAAAACGTAATTTATAATTTTTAAGTTAAGTTTCTTAAAATTGTTTTTTAAGTCTGTGGGCTTAATATCTACTAAAGCAAGATGTAGGGTAAAGTAGGGTAAGGTAACGCCGGGTACATTATGGCAGCGCAGGCCAAGCTTGGGTACAGTACAGTACAATACGGTGAGATACAGTAGGAAAGGGTAAGGCTAATTAAGGTAGGGTACGGCAAGGTATAATACAGTAGTATACCGTAGAATATAGTACGGTAGAGTACGGTACGGTTAGATACAGTAGGGTAGGGTAAAGTAGGGTAGGGTAGGGTAGGGTAGGGTAGGGTAGGGTAGGGTAAAGTAGGGTTGGGTTGGGTAGGGTAGGGTAGGGTAAAGTAGGGTTGGGTTGGGTAGGGTAAGGTAAACAGAAGAAGTGAAAAACGCATTCTGAATGCTGTAATTTGTAATTACATGCATTTCTTACATCAGAAAACCAGGAACAACTGTTAAAATAGAATTGTTTTTGCTTTTGACAACCTGGTATTAATACGAAAACTTAATAAGCGAAGATTAAAGAAAGTGGAAGTTGTGGCATTTTTTAAAGCAAAAAAATTTTTAAATGTTTAGGATTGAATTGGAAAGGTTAAGATAAGGTAACGTAGGGCACGGAACGGTGTCGTTTGGTAAGGTATGTTAAGTAAGGTTGCGCAAGGCAAGGCAACGGCAAGGCAAGGCGAGGCAAGGCAAGGCAAGGCAAGGCAAGGCAAGGCAAGGCAAGGCAAGGCAAGGCAAGGCAAGGCAAGGCACGGGCAAGGCAAGGCTATGCATTTGTATATTGCTTTATTAAACTTTCATATGAACCATCACCCCTTCCCTTCTTTTCTATAATAACACCTATATAGCCAATTATAATACTATATTACATTAGTTTGCTAAACTTATTAAACCGTTGTGTTCTTTACTATTATAAATCGCTGTAACGCGTGTTTGTATTAAACGTTTTGTCTATCTACTACCTAGATAATATTGTATTGACTACAAACTAATTAATTTATGTTCACATGTGTCATAATGTTTTGAATTGTCACTCCCATATTGACTTTTCGGTTTCTCACGAAAATTGTTTTGGTTCAGTTTCCGGATTTTATTTTTTTAAAAAAGGAAGTTAGTGTAGGTCAAGGTGTGCTGTATGTTTTGCTAAAAGTTGGGAGAAGGTATGTAATGGGTTTACCTAGAAAAAGGTTTAATAAGGCAGGCTAACGTAGCAAGACTTATTTACAGAAGGCCTTAACAATAATTGTAGATTGTTATTGCAATGTAGAGGTAGGGTTCGAATGATCATCAATTTAACGTAAGATGTGGTTAAATACAACTAGGAAAAAGCTAAGGAAATATCGAGTATTTTTAAACGTGATTTAATTAAAAGCTAGAGTATGGATACAACAGAGCTATGCCTTAGTTAAGACTTAAGTTTAAGGTTAATTGTTAGATTAAGCTAAGGTTTTGTTTAAGAAGAAGGCTAGGGCTTTGGCTAGAGCTGGACTATGGCTCTTGGGCCAAGGTTCTCGGGCTAGGGCTAGGACTCTGGGGCTAGGGCTTTGGGATAAGGCTCTCGGGTTAGGGCTCTGGGCTGGGCTCTGAGCTAAAGCTTTTGGCTAAAACTCGTTGCTAGGGCTCTGGGTGGGGCTTTGGCTTGAGGCATGTTTTTGATATGTTGGATTTTGTAATACGGGCTCGTTTACAATGTAGCCATCTTTGTTGTTATGATACGAATGATCTTAAGTACAAACTTGAGAGCAAATTGTGAAGAAGTAAATAGAGATGTTTCAAGAAAGTACATTGTTGAAGATACAAAATGTTGTGTATTGAAGATATATTACTGTCAGAAATATTACTTTCCTTTATTTTTAATAACATTTTTACGCTTTTTAGGTATGAACTACACCCAAGAAGACCTAGAACAACTTCACAATGCCCTTATAAGCCTACAAATCATAGTATCAATACCAGTACTATCAGTGTGCCTCTATATCTCTTACAAGCTCTACAAGCTAGCCACTATCAATGCCAATCTGAAACTGATTGTGATTATCACTACCCTGTCGTATACTGTAGCAATTACCGAGCATGCGCTACTAGCTTCAGTACCACAGCAAGTTTATAGTGTAAAAGAAGGACAGTATTTTAATGCCTTACTGTATTATACAGCAGCTTTGGGTATCAACTATTTGTGCTTTATATTCAGCTTCAAGTATCCGGTAATTGCTATAGAGCGTACGGTTGCATACAGGAGAGTGAAGACTTACGATTCTGAAGGAAATGTTTTTGGACTCAAATTGATCAAGAATCTGGTAAGATTTTATAAATTTGCTAAAAAAATTGGCTTTAGGCTTAGGCTTTAGTTGATTTTTTGCGTAATGCTTAAGTTTACATTAACGTTTAGGCTTAGGCTTAGGCTTAGGCTCAGGCTTAGGATTCGGCTTAGGCTTAGGCTTAAGCTTAAGCTCAGGCTGAGATTTAGGCTTAGGCTCAAGCTTAAGCTTAAGCTTAGATTTAGCCTTAGGCTTAGGCTTAGGCATAAGCTTATACTTAGGCTTAGGCTTAGCTATAGGCTTTTGCGCAGGTTAAAGCTTGGGTTTAAGTTTAGGCTTAACTTATGCTTAGACTTAAACATAGGCTTAAGCCGAAGCTTAGGCTTGAACTTAGGCTTAAGCACAAACTGATCTTTAAGCCGAGCCTTATGCACAAGCTGATCTTTAATTTTAGGCTTACATGACTTTTAAGCTTCATCTTACTAACTTTTTTTCTTATTTACCGTTTTAGACTAGTTTTAAGTCTTGTTATGCTAACACTTTGTAATGTATGTTATTTTAGTCATTTCTCTCAATTGTACTTTTAATTATAAAAATAGTACTAATATGGCTGGGCTAGGGCTCTGGGCTAGGGCTCTGGGCTAGGGCTCTGGGCTAGGGCTCTGGGCTAGGGCTCTGGGCTGGGGCTCTGGGCTAGGGCTATGCGCTAGGACTAAGGCGCTTGGCTAGGGATCTGGGCTAAGGCTAGGGCTTTCAATGTAAGCTAATGACAATGTTTAGAACTTTACGTAATATTGTTGTAGGCTATAAAGGGCACTTTCTGTAAAAATAAAGAAAAATGGTAATAAAAAACAGTAATGACTCAAAATGAAAAAAAAATTACTACAACATATACATATTTGAATAATTTGATAGTACATGCACTAACTGATAGAAAGCAAGTAAACAAATACCGTACTTTACAAATTTAATAATTAGTACGTTGTTCCAAGTAAAAAACATCTTATAAATCTTTAGACTTTTTGTTTACAGTGTAAAGTAAGTACCTTTAAAACGTAATTTATAATTTTTAAGTTAAGTTTCTTAAAATTGTTTTTTAAGTCTGTGGGCTTAATATCTACTAAAGCAAGATGTAGGGTAAAGTAGGGTAAGGTAACGCCGGGTACATTATGGCAGCGCAGGCCAAGCTTGGGTACAGTACAGTACAATACGGTGAGATACAGTAGGAAAGGGTAAGGCTAATTAAGGTAGGGTACGGCAAGGTATAATACAGTAGTATACCGTAGAATATAGTACGGTAGAGTACGGTACGGTTAGATACAGTAGGGTAGGGTAAAGTAGGGTAGGGTAGGGTAGGGTAGGGTAGGGTAGGGTAGGGTAAAGTAGGGTTGGGTTGGGTAGGGTAGGGTAGGGTAAAGTAGGGTTGGGTTGGGTAGGGTAAGGTAAACAGAAGAAGTGAAAAACGCATTCTGAATGCTGTAATTTGTAATTACATGCATTTCTTACATCAGAAAACCAGGAACAACTGTTAAAATAGAATTGTTTTTGCTTTTGACAACCTGGTATTAATACGAAAACTTAATAAGCGAAGATTAAAGAAAGTGGAAGTTGTGGCATTTTTTAAAGCAAAAAAAATTTTTTAAATGTTTAGGATTGAATTGGAAAGGTTAAGATAAGGTAACGTAGGGCACGGAACGGTGTCGTTTGGTAAGGTATGTTAAGTAAGGTTGCGCAAGGCAAGGCAACGGCAAGGCAAGGCGAGGCAAGGCAAGGCAAGGCAAGGCAAGGCAAGGCAAGGCAAGGCAAGGCAAGGCAAGGCAAGGCAAGGCAAGGCACGGGCAAGGCAAGGCTATGCATTTGTATATTGCTTTATTAAACTTTCATATGAACCATCACCCCTTCCCTTCTTTTCTATAATAACACCTATATAGCCAATTATAATACTATATTACATTAGTTTGCTAAACTTATTAAACCGTTGTGTTCTTTACTATTATAAATCGCTGTAACGCGTGTTTGTATTAAACGTTTTGTCTATCTACTACCTAGATAATATTGTATTGACTACAAACTAATTAATTTATGTTCACATGTGTCATAATGTTTTGAATTGTCACTCCCATATTGACTTTTCGGTTTCTCACGAAAATTGTTTTGGTTCAGTTTCCGGATTTTATTTTTTTAAAAAAGGAAGTTAGTGTAGGTCAAGGTGTGCTGTATGTTTTGCTAAAAGTTGGGAGAAGGTATGTAATGGGTTTACCTAGAAAAAAGGTTTAATAAGGCAGGCTAACGTAGCAAGACTTATTTACAGAAGGCCTTAACAATAATTGTAGATTGTTATTGCAATGTAGAGGTAGGGTTCGAATGATCATCAATTTAACGTAAGATGTGGTTAAATACAACTAGGAAAAAGCTAAGGAAATATCGAGTATTTTTAAACGTGATTTAATTAAAAGCTAGAGTATGGATACAACAGAGCTATGCCTTAGTTAAGACTTAAGTTTAAGGTTAATTGTTAGATTAAGCTAAGGTTTTGTTTAAGAAGAAGGCTAGGGCTTTGGCTAGAGCTGGACTATGGCTCTTGGGCCAAGGTTCTCGGGCTAGGGCTAGGACTCTGGGGCTAGGGCTTTGGGATAAGGCTCTCGGGTTAGGGCTCTGGGCTGGGCTCTGAGCTAAAGCTTTTGGCTAAAACTCGTTGCTAGGGCTCTGGGTGGGGCTTTGGCTTGAGGCATGTTTTTGATATGTTGGATTTTGTAATACGGGCTCGTTTACAATGTAGCCATCTTTGTTGTTATGATACGAATGATCTTAAGTACAAACTTGAGAGCAAATTGTGAAGAAGTAAATAGAGATGTTTCAAGAAAGTACATTGTTGAAGATACAAAATGTTGTGTATTGAAGATATATTACTGTCAGAAATATTACTTTCCTTTATTTTTAATAACATTTTTACGCTTTTTAGGTATGAACTACACCCAAGAAGACCTAGAACAACTTCACAATGCCCTTATAAGCCTACAAATCATAGTATCAATACCAGTACTATCAGTGTGCCTCTATATCTCTTACAAGCTCTACAAGCTAGCCACTATCAATGCCAATCTGAAACTGATTGTGATTATCACTACCCTGTCGTATACTGTAGCAATTACCGAGCATGCGCTACTAGCTTCAGTACCACAGCAAGTTTATAGTGTAAAAGAAGGACAGTATTTTAATGCCTTACTGTATTATACAGCAGCTTTGGGTATCAACTATTTGTGCTTTATATTCAGCTTCAAGTATCCGGTAATTGCTATAGAGCGTACGGTTGCATACAGGAGAGTGAAGACTTACGATTCTGAAGGAAATGTTTTTGGACTCAAATTGATCAAGAATCTGGTAAGATTTTATAAATTTGCTAAAAAAATTGGCTTTAGGCTTAGGCTTTAGTTGATTTTTTGCGTAATGCTTAAGTTTACATTAACGTTTAGGCTTAGGCTTAGGCTTAGGCTCAGGCTTAGGATTCGGCTTAGGCTTAGGCTTAGGCTTAAGCTTAAGCTCAGGCTGAGATTTAGGCTTAGGCTCAAGCTTAAGCTTAAGCTTAGATTTAGCCTTAGGCTTAGGCTTAGGCATAAGCTTATACTTAGGCTTAGGCTTAGCTATAGGCTTTTGCGCAGGTTAAAGCTTGGGTTTAAGTTTAGGCTTAACTTATGCTTAGACTTAAACATAGGCTTAAGCCGAAGCTTAGGCTTGAACTTAGGCTTAAGCACAAACTGATCTTTAAGCCGAGCCTTATGCACAAGCTGATCTTTAATTTTAGGCTTACATGACTTTTAAGCTTCATCTTACTAAATTTTTTTCTTATTTACCGTTTTAGACTAGTTTTAAGTCTTGTTATGCTAACACTTTGTAATGTATGTTATTTTAGTCATTTCTCTCAATTGTACTTTTAATTATAAAAATAGTACTAATATGGAAGACAACACACGGAGAAGATATTGATGAAAGACTGCAGAAGACATTAAATGTTTTCCATCATGTTCCAGGCTTTCTTTTTGATGTCATAATTGGAACTTTGGGCATGATTCATTGTGTTTTTGTAAGCTTTTTAAACTAAAATTTTTTTAGTTAGGTTATAGTAGGGAAAGGTATGATAAGACACGTACAATAAGGTGTATGTTTCTAGTTTAAAAATTTTCAGACTCTGAACTCGCTGATGTCAAAAGTCAAGAACCAATATTGTTGTTCATTAACTGAGTCCTATGAAATACGACAAACAAAATGCACGTTACAATGGGTAAAGAAGATGTTATGTGCGTTTATTGGACTTTGCATAATTGTGTTTCCTTTTACTATTGTACTGTTTTACTTGTACATGTACCGTGGCTACGATACTGATAAGATGGAGATTCAAATCATTATACAGGTACGCCTTTTTAAAAATTTTTTTAATTGGCAGGAAAGAGGAGGGGGGGGAGGGGGGGAGGGGGCACATGTAAGGGTTAGAAAGAACTACAATAGAAACCTTGGTGAAGCGAAGGTAAGGCACGGGAAGAACTAAATCCGGCTTAAGACTGGGCAATGGCAAAGATATAACAATTGATAAGTAGAGTTAAGTATTGGCTAAGGCTAAGGCTAAGGCTTAGGCTTAGGCTTAGGCTTAGGCTTAGGCTTAGGCTTAGGCTTAGGCTTAGGCTTAGGCTTAGGCTTAGGCTTAGGCTTAGGCTTAGGTTTAGGCTTAGGCTTAGGCTTAAGCTTAGGCTAAAAGTTGAGCTTAGGCTTAGCTTTTGCCTTGGCCTTAAAATGTCTTAATCCTGGTCCTAGTTCTAATCCTGGTTTTGGTCCTGGTCCTAGTTCTGGTCTTGGTCCTAATCCGGGTTCAGCTCTAACTTTAGCTGTAGCTCTGGCCATATCTCTATCCTTGGCTCTAGTCCTAGCTTTAGATCTAGCTCTAGATCTAGATCTAAGTCTAGCTTAAGCCCAAGCCCAAGTTTTCCTAACTTTGATTTAGCCTTATTAAAATATAAAAAATTTTATTATAGATCCTCAGCATCCTAGTAGACGGCTACACCTTTATCACTACAATGATGATGTACTGTGAATTTCCTCACCTCAAAAAAGCCATAATTTACGATTTTCCGTGTGTTTTCCCAACAGTTTCTCCAAATCACTTATCAAAAGAAGCCGAAACTGAAACTTATTTTAATAATTTTGAAGAACTTATGAATGCCAAGTATAAGAAACGGAAGGGGTAGATCAATAAACGCATTTTAGAAGTGAATACTTTTTTTTTACTTTACCCTACCCTACCCTACCCTACCCTACCCTACCCTACCCTACTATTAAATTTCAATGGCCAGTTTTGATAATGACATCTTATGATGATGTATATGTTATTATTGCAAACTGTTCTTTGTATTGTATACCTTCCTCTTAGTACAATAAGCAGGTCAATTTAATTGTTTTTCAACACGATTAAACTAAAACCAGTAATTGTTTACAATTTTAAGTTTAATTACAAATGCCACGACTTTAAGTTCCTCGAATAAATTTAAAATATCAAAATTTAAATGTTGACACCTTGGCCTTATTGCAAAAATATGCGCAAATGACATAATTTTTTGATATAATAGGATAGCCTTAGGGAAATTGCAAGAAACTGTATTACGCAACTTTTTCTTCTGTAATTTTATGGCCTTATATAATAGTTGCCTCGATGTAAAACGACCCAACAAATGACTGCGAGTGCTGGGGTTTGGCGCTATTTTACTGCAGGGGATCAGGTTTTATTTGTCATAACTTATGGAAATGCAGGTGCCAACCGCTAATATATACGACCTTTTTAAATATCTGTTTATCAAAATTTGAGCTAATAGGCTTAAGTTAAAACTCAGTTTAAATATCATCTTAAACTGAAGTTTGTGCATAAGCCTAAACGTTATTTCAACACTAGTTGTAGTTTAAGCTTTTGATGCTTTATTAGTTAGATGTGTATCATACTACACTTGTGCGTAAGGTAATGCTGCTTGTTGAGAAGAAAGTGCAAAATTGTACAAAATGTGGAAGTACAATATTATTTCAAATCTAAATTCTTATGTGTTTTCTTATTACCTTGCATGTCATAATGAATTTCTACTTCTAACGTAATACAAAAAGTACATTGTCATAAATGATTATTAAATAGTTTAGTTAGACCGCTCTAATATAAGATATGCGGATTTTGGTTTCTTCTTTTAAAGGAAGGCAGAACGGGGTAGGGTAAGGCGTGCATAACAATTAGGGGTGATTTTGATTATGGTGGAGCAGGTTAAGGTAAAGTAAGACACAATACGGCAGATCGATGTAAAATAGGGCACGTTAGAGTACGATAAAGCAAAGTAAAGTACACTAGGGTGGAGTATCTCAAAGTATAATCGAGTAGGGTTAAAAAATACGGTAGAACAGAGTACGACAAAATAGAGTAGGATAAGGTACAGTAGGACCTGGTGAAACAGAGTAGAATTCGGTAGGGCAGAGTAAGATGTCGTTGGATATGATAGGGTAACGTAGAGAAAGGTATTATAGGGTAGGGTAGGGTAGGGTAAGGTAAAGTAGGGTAGGGTAGGATAGGGTAGAGTAGGGTAGGGTAGGGTAGGGTAGGGTAGGGTAGGGTAGGGTAGGGTAGGGTAGGGTAGAGTAGTATTGTAACAAACATCACTACCACATGTCTGTCTTGTAACCTTTTCACAGTTTTTAACATTTTTTATTCACGTTTTAAGATTGTGCTATAAATATTTTATAATTGTATTAGTGTTTTTCCAGTAATCTGTTTCACGTTTTCTCAATAACGTTACATTACTTAACTTTTTGTAAATTTCACGTTTTCAAAAAAAATTAAATTATAAATTAATTTCAATTGTGATTAGGTTATCGTAACGTGCCATTTTTATTTTTAAAAATGTTTATGGTCAAAAAAACTTTGGCTGCAGGTTTGTCGGCATATGATTGTAGTGTGGAGTAGAGCAAGGCAGGGCACGGAAAAACAATGCAAGACAAGAGAGGGCAGAGTAGGGTATCACAAAGCGAGGAATGTTATGGTAAAGCAGGACAGGCAAGGCAACGGCAAGGCAACGACAAGGCAACGGCAAGGCAGGACTTTAGTTAGTCTTTAGCTTATGACAGATGTTAGATGACACGTAAAAATAGATTTTTTGTATTTTGTCGCTTTTTATAGCATATACGGTTTGTACGTCAAAATTGTAACCGTTCTTTTTTTGCGAAAAGTGGTCGTTTCTCTTTGCGATGTTCAAAATATACTCAAAAGACATATATTATTGCTACAATTTTTGGTGACGTTCGTTAGTAACGGCCTCACAATGCTTTAACTATTTTATTCGTTTGTCCAAAAACAAGTTGCTTTAGAGTATCATAATGTATATTACATAGGGTGTAGTTCTGTTTTAGGCCTAAATTGAAGCGAGGTTTAGAGTCAAGCTTAGGGTTAGAATTTGGCTTAGGCTTAAGTTTAGGCCTTAGCTTTAAACTTAACCTTAAGCTTAAGCTTCGGCATAGGCTTAGGATTAGGCTTAGGCTTAGGCTTAGACTTATCTTAGACTTAGGCTTAGGCAAAAGTTTAGGCTTAGGCTTAGGTTTATTTTAGGTTTAAGCTTAGGCTTCGGCTTAGGCTTAGGCTTAGACTTAGACTTAGTCTTAGTCTTATCTTAGGCTTAGGCTTAGGCTTAGGCAAAAGCGTAGGCTTAGGTTTAGACTTAGGCTTAGGCTTAGACTTAGACTTATCTTAGGCTTAAGCTTAGGCAAAAACTTAAGCTTAGGCTTAGGCTCTGGCTTAAGCTTAGGTTTAGACTTAGGCTTAGGCTTAGACTTAGGCTTAGGCTTAGGTTTAGACTTAGGCTTAGGCTTAGGTTTAAGCTTAGATTTAGGCTTAGGCTTAAGCTTAGGCTTAGGCTTAGGCTTAGGCTTAGGCTTAGGCTTAGGCTTAGGCTTAGGCTTAGGCTTAGGCTTAGGCTTAAGCTTAGGCTTAAGCTTAGGCTTAGACTTAGACTTAGACTATTAGGTTCAGGACTAGCCTGAAACCTGTTTTAAGCTTTAACATTAGGTTTTGCCTAATAAGCATTTACGTTTAGGATGTTAAGTGCTATAGTACTTACCGTAATAATATGTGTAGTACAATGCCTATTTTTAACAAAAATACAAAAGTTTTAAATACTTTGTTTTAGTTTATAGACAAGTTTAGAGTTCACATCAAAATGTGACAAATAAGAATTATAGTTAGGTTTTTCTTGTTACATACGATAATATACTGGAGCTGGCATTATATTATAGTAGAGAAGGTTTTATATTATAGTAAGGATGGTATTATACTATACTCGGCTTAGGCTTTATATTATACTAGGGTCAAAATTAAATCATACTAGGGCCAAGTCTTATATTATACTAGGGTCAAATTTAAATCATACTAGAACCAAGTCTTACATTATAGTAAGCCCAGCCCTGATATTATAGTAGGCTAATCAGACGTCTCGTTAGTCATCATTTTGTTATTGTGAACCTGTAACAAAGATCCTTGTCGTTATGACATTAGGCGTGACTTCAAAAACTTTGTTTTGACAACTACATTATCAACCCTTACATTAACATATCACACATGCGAAGTTGACATGTACACATTTACAAAATATATACATTTATCTGCATGTTGTTGTGGTTGTTCCGGGTCCGTGTGTTACAATATATAGTCAATGTTTTTTGTACGCGACTTTGAGGCATGGGCAGTTTGTGCAGACATTGAGGAAGTTTTTTAACTTTAAATCTTCAAATTTTGTCAACTAAAAATGCTTACATTTAAGAAGATTTACTCGCTATAGGACGGTTGGGTTAAAGTTTAGATTAGAACTAAGAGCAAGAGTAGGGCCAAGGGGCCAAGGGTGCTAACAATAATGGAATATGTATTGGCATGGGTATCTATCTGAAAAGAGAGCTACTGGCCCCGCCATCCCCCAGTAGCTCTTTTACTGGGGGCTGGCGGGCCCAGTCAGACGCAAGCCTTAAAAGCGAACTCGACGCGTTTCTCATTCCTAATATTAAGAGGCTGGACTAGGCGGCTAGTGCTTCAGCTGTTCTTCACAGGTTCACTCTAACTTTATTTTAATTTTGCTTTAGCTAAATGTTCTTTTATCTTATTGTAGGTCCCCCCCCCCTTCTCTAGAAAAAAATTTTGAAAAAAGTTGAACGTGGTCCCCCCCCCCTGTAGATCTTCTGAAAAAATTTTTCGCAAAAAATCGGCACATGTATGCCGATTTTTTAAACCCCCGCCCCCAGACCAAAAGTTCCCGCCCGGCCTGAGGTTGAACCGCAAGTAGTGGGACGCTTTTTAGTTGAAAAGTAAATGAAAAGTGTCCTGCTGCTTTTGGTTCAACCTAATAAGTAAAAGTTAGAAACGAGTCGCGGAGGGTGGGTTGCTTCAGCCTGATTCTAGAATTGAGCCGTGCCGGGCTAATTTTCAGTTAAAGTTGGAACGAGCTGGCCTTCAAATTTTAGTCCGGCTCGACAACCTGACTCAAGCCTTGAAAGCGAACCCGACGCGTTTCTCATTTCTAATATTAAGAGGCTAGACTAGGTATTTGTAATGTTTGCTGAAGACTTGACTGATGTGTCTTATTAAGTTTTATAGCGAGCGTGTGGTATATACAGTCATTCTGAACAGTAAACTATATAAAAATGTAAAACATTGTAATTTTTGTAGATCAACGTTCAACGTTTATCAATTTTTTCGCCATTAAGTTGAGCCAGTATCGTTGACAACATCTATATCATCATAGTTATTTATCTTTCTACCAGCTTTCTTACACTTTCTTCGAACTATTTACCTTACATATGTAAACACATATGTTTTACTAAACAAAGACCACCTACATAATTACTCTCTGTAACTGTAATGCAAATACATTCAAAATCTCTTTGCAATATGACATTTGTAACTGAACTAATTACCTCCATCCTCACCATGCTCATCATAGTTTACTTTGGTTACAAGTTCAACAAGCTTGTTACAGTAAATGGCAACTTAAAAATCGTGGTAATGGTATCGACCGTAGTTACTACGATTAACAATGTCATACATTCATTTATGTCAACAGTACCGCTAAACTACTACAGTGTGGAACTTGGAAACTATACTGTAGCGTTGTTATATTACAGTATTATGATTGCTGTTAACTATGGGTACTTTTTATTCTCTTTTAAGTACACCTTGATA